TACTTTAATACACAAACTCCCATCAGAATGCCTATATTTGAGAACCACACGGGCCTGAAATAAAAATACATATTTAGAAACAGTGAAGTCAGAAGACATTTCTCATAAATAATTTAGTCTTCAAGTGAGCTAAAATAGATCCTTTTAGAATTAATAGCTAAAATATCTAAAGGCACCTTTACTGTAAACTCATCATTACTAAAACGAGGGAAAACAGTACTTTGTTCATTCCTACTGCTACAATATTTTTAAGACTTAAAAGAAAGTCAGGTATTTTATTTTCAGCCACTTAGAAGAGATGTACTGAAAATTCCCAAGGCACACCCATATTCAGAGAATGTCTGTAAGACTCTTAAGGTGGTTTGGCATTTCTTGCCAGTAAGACTATGTACTGAAGGGTATTCACAGCATGCTACCTCAAAAGTATACCACTTCAGCTAAAGGAAAGTTTTGAGCTGAAGGCAATTAGTTCTCTGCCCTTTCTGATCAAAAGCAGGACATAAATTAAGCTTTGTAAAGATAACGTAAGTTTCCAATTGTAAAGGTGTTTCTTCTCCCTGGGAAAAGAGAAGGTTTGTTCCCTAAAAACCTTACCAAACAACTCTAATATTGCCCATACATTCCCTAGTCACCTTCTCAGAACTACTCCCTCCTAGAAGCCCCAAACCTCTTTTCCTCTACCCAACCTCTCTCCCATACTTTCCCACCCTTCAGATGGTATATAGGTCCCCAAATCCTCCACTTTGTGAACTTCTATGCTAAGTGTAATTCTTTCTATCTATTAACCTGTCTTTTGTCAGTTTAATTTGCAGAGCCCCTCTTATGAAACCTAAAAGAGTAAAGGAGAAGGTTTTCTTCTGCCCTACAATACCCACACATCTAGCCACAGAGGACTGATAGGAAAAAAAAAAAGAGGGGGAAAGGAGCAGAAGTGGGTAGTGAAGTTCAAATCCATTTCCCAGGAAAGAGCACTGCAGCTGCAGTTCATGCTTTCCATTTTCCCATGGCTCTCAAGAGGTGGACTCAGACTAATTACTGAGCAAAATCCTATCTTTCTCATGACGGCACGACATGAGACACAACTTTCCACGTCTAGAATAACTCCTCCATTGAGTGCCATAACACACAGCACTTTTTGCTACTGGGTGTTCTACAGTCAGGAAGCCAAGAAAATGACTTAGATATTAGTATATTCCAATAAAAGAAGACAGTTCCCAATAGAGTTTACAACCTCCATGAACATTATATTTCTTTAAATGCTGGATTCAAAACAGTGCAGCAGAGACAAGTCTCTTATTGACCAAAAATATAATAAATCACTCTAGTTTAACTTTAGCTAGTTGTTTTAAAAATTGCTAAGTTCTATCAGCCAAAACAGGAACATATATTTAAAACGGCTCCAATGTAGCACAGGACCCTCAAGATAATTCTGGAAACTAAAAAGGGCTATTAGAGCTTTTTCTACAGCTTTTCTCATTATGCCTTCTACTCCCCTGGGTTTGCAAACTTAAAAAGGTCATATCATCCTGAGATTTGTCTTGGTGAGGGAGGAAAGGGAACTTACCAAGCACTTAAGTAGGTGTAAGTATCTTTAGACTACCTAATAAGATTCTACTTATTGAGCTAGTAAGTTCAGTTTTACACAGTAAAAAAATTCAGTCCTCTGGAAACAAAAGGAAACCAACTTAAAAATGTACTAAGCATGACAACGATGTAAAGTTTTAACTCCTGCTTAAAAGAATACTCAGTGGCTTCATTAGGAGAAATGAGTTAAAAAACTTTATGATCCCATGGACTGTAGCCTGCCAGGCTACTACGTCCATGGGATTCTCCAGGCAAGGATACTGGAGTGGACTGCCATGCCCTCCTCCAAGGGATCTGGAACCCACTAAGTCTGCTATATTGGCAGGTGAGTTCTTTACCACTAGCACCACCTGGGAAGCCCCAACCCCCTTTTTATTGGTAAATTAGAAAGCGCCTAGGTTACCATGTCAGATGCCACTGAGAAGGAAAAGAAATCAAGGTTCTTGCTTTCTTAGTAACTTTGAATTCAACCAACTTAAATAATCAAAACATAAGACAACATGAATTAAGTTCTAGAAAGACATATACAGGTAAAATGCTAAAAGAGAAAACAAGGAAAGTGTAAAAAGAATTTATGGAAATGGCTTCAGAAAGGCATTTTTTTTTTCCTTACTTTTAGGGAAGAAGTTAGGAGAAAGGCTGAAGCGCCAGTCTGAATGAAGATATGATGCATCCTGTAGCTTTCTGAGGCTAGCGAGGGCTGAGGATGGTGGAAATGGTGGGAGACAAAGCCAACAAGACTGGAGAGAGGGTCAGACTGGGGCCTGGAAGGTGGGACTTTTACCAGCAACCAGTGAAGAACCAGCTTTAAAACAGGAAACTGATCATTCAATTTTTGTGTCTGAGATTGCTGTGGTATATATGAGAGTGAAGAAGGAATTTTAAAAGCAGGCAGACAGACTAAGAGGTTATTACATGGTCTAGCAATATCATCATTTTCACTTAGAGCGGATGCAACAGAGAATAGTAAAAGGTGATAAATATGATCAAGAGGGAGAGAAGACAATTCTGTAAAACAGATCCCAAAGAGTTCTGACAAAATTTCTTTTCTTCTTTAGTTTCAGTAGTATGGATTGGTAGAAACAGCATGAACACGGTGTTTAGAGATGTGGGTTCAAATTTTAGCCTAATCTCTTAGAGATCACCAGGCACATCATTTAATGTATCTAAGACTGTTCATTCAACTACCTCAAGGGATTGTCTTCAGTTGGATAAATAAATTATACAGATAAGTATATATATATATATATATATATATAATGTCTGTCACATAGAAGGTATTCAATACAACTGTCAGCCAAGCTCTCTGTCCACTTATCCCCTCACCGACCTATCAAAAAAATCAGTTAAAAACCAACGGAAGGTTATCATGAGAAGGCACAAGTTTTTAGGCCACTGGAATTTTCTGAAAAGAACTCATAGGTTCTCCCTCTCCTGTCTATTCTACACATGCTTTGTTCATAGCAACGCTCAATAATAATCATTTTATTTTCATTTTCCCTATAACTATGACCACATTCTTATAGGATTACTACTCTTACTGTGGATTTGTTTATTCTTTACTATCTTTCCAAATATTTTTAGTTTACACTGTGGGTACTTCTAAAAAAGTCCTGTATAGTCCTCATGGTACACTGCTTAAAGAAACAAATCGTCCTATGAACAAAATCAACCAAATGGAGAAGCCAGAAATTGTGACATAAACAAAGTACTCAATTTCACAAGTACCTAATTCATTTTATCATTTATTACTATTACATCACTTTATTGCAAAGAATGGAGCTAAGAAGGTTTTCGGCTTCTTGTTACTTATCTAGGTTTAAAAAGCTAGCAGGACTTTTAAGTATTTCAAATAATATTTAGATGACAATAAAAACCAAGAGGAAGGAAAATGAAGACCCAAATGCTAAATTCTTGTCCTTGCAACTTCTTTGCTTACTAACACACACACACATGGATCCCTGTATTTCACTCATGGCCCCCCAAAAATTATGATAAGTCGATGTCAAGAGGGGCCATGAATGAATTGCAGGTGGGGGCAATGAATGAATTGCAGGTGTGTGTGTTAGTCGCTCATTTTGTGTCTGACTCTTTGTGACCCCATGGACTCTAGACCAGTCCCGCCAGGCTCCTCTGTCCATGGAATTCTCCAGGCAAGAATACTGGAGTGGGTTGCCATTCCCTTCTCCAGGGGAATCTACCTGGCCCAGGGATCAAACCCGGGTCTCCTGCATTGCAGGCAGGTTCTTTACCATCTGAGACTCCAGTGAAGCCCACAGAGATCCACAGACCCCCTAAAACTGTTTACAAATATTTATGTGTTAAGTGCATTCTCCTGCTCTCAAAGGGCAATGACCTCCAAAATATTAAGAACCAGTAATCCGCGGAAGGTAGATGCTGCCAAATTGGGGTCTTTGATGCTTTTGAACTGTGGTGTTGGAGGAGACTTTTGAGAGTCCCTTGGACTGCAAGGAGATCCAACCAGTCCATCCTAAAGGAAATCAGTCCTGAATATTCATCGGAAGGACTGATGCTGAAGCTGAAACTCCAATACTTTGGCAACCTGATGAGAAGAACTGACTCATTCGAAAAGACCCCGATGCTGGGTAAGATTGAAGGCGGGAGAAGGGGACGACAGAGAATGAGATGGTTAGATGGCATCACCAACTCGATCGACATGAGTTTGAGTAAACTCCGGGAGTTGGTGATGGACAGGGAAGCTTGGAGTGGTGCAGTCCATGGGGTCGCAAAGAGTCGGATGCGACTGAATGGAAACGCCACAGGAAGCCGAAGCTGCAGGGGGAGGAGCCCTGCCCTTAGAGACACGTAAACCAACGATATGGAAGTTCAGGGATTGTAGGCGGGGGAAGGCTTCTAAGAGCCCTGACTTGACCCTGATTTTGCTGGTTTCAGGCTTCACTGGGCCCTTATTAAGAGAAGAGAGGAAAAGAACAATCGGACTTCGCGTGGAATCCGTCTCTCTTCACATACAGCACCACCTAAGATGCTGCAGAAGCTCCGGAGGCCGAGCGGACGGCAGACAAGACATCCTGACCCGGAGCTGGGACAGAGACACTAGCTCCGCCTGCCATTTACCTTCATTGGGTCGGCGAGGTAGAGTTTCTCCGCTGCGCGACTGAACTCCTCCCAAGTCTGGAACTGCGGCATCGTGGGACCGAGGCAGAAGGACAGAAAGAGGCACGGCTGTGGACCGGAGGCGGCGCAGCACAGCCCACCTACCTCCCTAACTCCCACAGCCGCCTACCAGGACACGGTCCCAGAGGCTCAAAGATGGTGGCGCCACCTCGCACCAACGCCTCGCTCCATTGGCCAGCCCGGCTCGTTCTTGCCCAATGGGAAGGAGGGATGTTGCCTAGGAGGCGGAGCCCCAAGCGTGTGAGTCTGGGAGAGGGTCCGGAGAGGTGGAGAGAGGGGGAGACGATGGAGATTGCCACAGCGCCCCTTGTAGGACTGGAGGAGGATCTGTCCCGCTGTCCTTCGGGCTGGACTACAGCGGTAAAGCCCAGGTTTCTTCAGCAAAGATAGAGCGGGTTAGTGATAAGCGCTGGAGCTGTCTCGCCTACAGCTTAGTAAAAGAAAGGGGAGACATAAACGGAAGAGTGCAATGGAAGGCTTTAGATGATAGGCCTCTGTGTCTAGAGGACGCTAACAGGGATGGCACAAGTTGAATCTTGAAAAACATGATAGGTGTTGAAAAGGTGGGCAGGGCAGGACGTCGAGGCCCATTTTAGATCTGTAGTGTATTTAATGTGGGCACCCTCTGGAGGAGGGCATGGCAACCCACTTCAGTGTTCTTGCCTGCAGACTCCCACGGACAGAATAGCCATAGAGTTGCAAAGAGTCAGATAGGACCGAAGCAACTTAGCGCGCAAGCACGTATTTGGGGACATGGGGGAAGAATCAAGGGAAGAAATCGTATCACTTAAGCCGGAAGAAATTTGAACTTTGTTCTCCAGGCTATGGAGTGAGGTAGAACGGTATTTTTCTTTAATCAAGTTTAAGTATATTTTATGTATAGTAAAACATCAGTTTTAAGGCTTCCCTGGCGGCTCAGTGGTAAAGAATCCATGTCTGCCAATTCAGAAGATACAGCTTCTATCCCTGGTCCCGGGAAGATCTCACATGCCGCTGAGCCACTAAGCCCATGAGCCACAACTACTGAGACTGCGCCCTAGAGCCTGTGCACTGGAACAAGAGAAGCCCCCACAATCAGAAGCCCCAAGCACTACAACAAAACGAAGAGTAATCCCCCGCTTGCCAGAACTTGAGAAAGCCGTTGCAGAGCAAGGAAGACCCAGTACAGACAAAAATAAATAAATACAATTATAGAAAATAAATTATACTATACAGATCGGCCCTGGACTTTGCTCTCCATTGTTCAGCAAGTGGAGAGCCGGCAGATATTAATCACAACAGGACGTGGAATGATTAATTTTTATTTTTGGAACATGTCACTAGTGGTTGAAGGGAAGCTGAATCGGTGAAGTCCAGCCTGTGCACGGTCAAAACTGAAAGCCTTTATTCTTTTGCCTAAGTTGGTTACCTCCTATGATTGTTTCCATGTCCTTGCTTCCCTTTCAATCCCATTCCCACCACAGTGCCTTCCACTCTGTCCCCACCTCAACCCTCAAATGAAGTTGCTTTCACAAGGTCACTAACTGCTCTCAGGGTCACTAGTGACCTTCATATTCAACTCTCAATCCTTTCTTTTTAAAATTTTTAAAATATATTAATATATATTTATTTCTTTATTTCATTGCACTGGGTGCTGCATGTGGCATCTCTTTCCCTGATCAGGGATGGAAACTGGGCCCCCTGCGTTGGGAGTATGGTCTTAGCCCCTGGACCACCAGGGAAGGCCCTCAATCCTTTCTTGACCAGATGATTCATCTGCATCTGAGGCCATGTGCCACTCCTTCATCCTTGAAATTTCCCAGCTCCTTGGTCTTTTGGACTCCATCCTTCCTTGCTCCTCCTACCTCTTTGGCTTTTCCCTCTCTGATTCTGTCCTAGCCTCCTCCACTCCCTTGGCCCTTCAGCACTGGGTCCTGAGGTATCATACTTTGATTTCACCCTCCGAGTTCTTCCTGGGCGATATTTGGGTTTTTACTTCCACCTCTATGCTGCTTAGTCCAGGTTCTTCCGTGAGCTTCAGATTCATATCTCCAAATGCCTGCCAGGCCTTGGGCTAACTCCAGAGTTCAATTTCGGGAGACGAAAACAATTTTTCAGCAAATTGAAGCAATTTATAAGCCATAAATGTGATGCGTCCTTTTTAACTTATTTTACTATTGCCATTTGGCAAATTATTAGCCACGCATACACCATATTTGACTGCCAGGAATTCAATTTAGGGGTCAGTGTGTTGGGCAAAATGCTTATAAGCTAAAGAGGTCAGGGGTAGAGATAATAAGGCAAATTCACCCGTATCTATAATTAAAGACAGAAATGTGGCACAGTGTGGAAGACAGAAGTCATTCCATAAGATTTAGTACAGGAGAGTGAAGTCATTCCACAAGATTTAGTGGTACCCATGTTTACTCTCCCCTTCCTCCCTTTTTCCCCTAAGGAGGAAGGTCTGTTGTTGTCAAGATAGAAATGACTGATTGTTTTTTAATTCTTTCCCAGAAGCTTTTTGTCCCTCTTTGTTCTTCTCAGTTGTCTCCTAAAAGCTGGCAGCATAGGGTGTGTAGACCGTTGTAGGAGTAGGTTCTTAAGTGGATTCTTATGTTTGCAATCATAATAAGTCCACAGTGCTGCTGGCATGTCGGGAACTAAAGGTCATTATGTTGATTTTCATGCATTAAGCATTTGTGGAACCCTCCACACGCCAGGACTCAAAGAAGTCACAGTTCTCTTGTGCCTTCCCAGGTCTCATGAATTCAGTGCAGCACAGTTAGAGTGAAACAAACCTGGTAAGAGAAGCCAACAGAGAAACCGGTTTGCCCAGGAGCTGGATCCAGCCTGGGGAGGAAAGGAAACCCGAGAATGTCCCCACTGGCCGGGCTGCTTTGGCCAGGTGTCCAGCGGAGGGCAGTGGTGAGCAGACGGTCTCGCGGAGACGGATCCCTGAGAGCCGACTTCAGCCTTTTCAAGATCCCAACGGAGTGCAAAACCCTGCCTTAGCTGAGACGGGTATTGGTGCGTTTTGTTTATCGTTTGCTCAGTCTCAACTTTTCCTTTCCAGAAAGAGCCTCAGCTCTTACTTAACTGTCCGGAACTTCCAACCCAGTTTAATTCATTAATTACTTATTGAGCACCTCTTCTGTGTCAGTCACCCTACCAGGTATTCTACAGTGAAAACAAAGATGTGCCTGAGCAGCTTAAATGCTAATGTGAGCAGAGCAGGGTGTAGGAATAAGACGAGTTTATAAATGATCAAGACTGGAGGCAGAAGCAAGCATTTATGGGGATTCAAGCAGGCCTCAACATCCCCTCCTCCCAGGTGTTTGGGGATGGGGAGGGTGGTCTGGAGGTAAAGACAAGAGTCTGACTGTGTGAAGCCCGGAACTGACTCCCAGGACCCACAGCCCACACTGCCCAGTTCTGTGGATCAGAAGCCCAGAGCTGCCTAGGAACAGTGAGGGGCGCCTTGAGCCTGGGGGGCAGGGTGGGGTAGGGAGGGAGGGAGGGACACAGGCCAAGATGGAAGGCAGGTGGAGATAGAAGTCACTCCAAGAAACAAAGCCCATTTCCAGAGCCCAGCTCAAGGGGGCTCAGAGACCAAAGGTTGTGCCAGCACCCTCGTGCCACGTCCACCAACAAACCCGCCCCCCCCCAGGCACGTGACAGAGTGCCCGGAGGCTGTCCCTCGGTGTCCTAGTTACGCCCTGTTCTAAAAATGCTAACCTTGCCATAGTCTGGGCAGGTCACGATCCTTTTGTCGTTGTTGTGTTGTGCTTCGTCACTCAGTCATGCTGACTCCTTGTGACCCCATGGACTGTAACTCACTACACTCCTCTGTCCATGGGGTTTTTCAGGCAAGAATTCTGGAGTGGGTTGTCATTTCCTCCTCCAACAGATGCTTCCAATTCAGATGGGAACCACATCTTCTACATTGGCAGGCGGATTCTTTACCATGTGGATTCTTTACCACTGAGCCAATGATCCCTTTAAGGTGAAACAGATTTCAAGTAGAATGAACATACCTCAAAAAACAGCAGGGGGATAAAGCCTTGTCTTGTGTCCAGCCGTGCTGACAGAGAGAATAGGCTGTGATTGAGTTGTGGGGATCGGAAAGGCCACCCTCTATGCTGCCTCCTCTGGGGGAAGCTGGGTCAGGCCAGGACAGATGCTGCCCAACCGATGCCCCAGAGGCCAGAGGGCAATGGCAGGGGCACCAGGATTCCCGAGGATCCTGGCTTGTCAGTTTCATCTGAAACTGATTAAAATGAAATGCAAACCCAAGTAGCTGGGAAGAAAAGGTCAGAATTTTACCCCTGTCTGCTGTCCTCCCTCAGCACGCTGCGCTCTGGCCTGGGTCCCATCACTGCTCAGATTTCCCCTTCACTCGGGCAGCCCGCACTGCCCAGAAACCCCAGAGAATGGTCCTATTGTAGATGAGACCCACTGAAATAGCAGCATCTTCTGTTCTCTGCCTTAGGGAGATTCACTTAAAACCCCAGAGTCCCAGATGTGGATGACAATGGAAGTTGTTGTTGCAAATTAGTGATCCTGGAACAGATGAGAGGCAGGTAGTCAGAAAGCAGCCAGTGTGGTGGGTTGGGCTGCGAAGAGAGAACAATTACGCAGTCACTCCATTACCCCAATTAGTGGTCACTGGCAGGAATTCTGTTCATCACCCAAAGAAGCATGGTGGGAAAGGTGGGAAAAGGGGACAACCAACCTGTAGAGGGGGACTGGGGCTGGGGTTGGGGAGGGCGGGAGTGCTGCTGGAACCGAAGGTCTAGAAATAAAGCTTCATTTATTCCTAAGCTGGTAAATGTTATTTTTATCATTTTTAAAATGTTCTCATTTTTTTCAATTAAAAAAAGAAAAAAAAAAAAAACTGTGCCCTAGGGCATTCAGATGAACAGTGTTTGCATTAATTAAGAAATCGGATGACATCTCCACTCCGCAGCAGGCTCTGCTGTGGAAACTCTCAGGGTGGCCTGGGAAATGGTGACTGTGGACTCTTGATTGATCACAGCTGTCATGCCCTCAGCCAGTCATTCCAATGAGTCAGTCAATATGTCTTAAGTGTCTACCTGATACTCCCTGGAGTTTGGGGTGGGGTGGGGAGTGGACACAGCATTAAGCAGGCTGTGGCTGTGTGCACAACTAGAATTAGTAAGGAGCGTTTACATTCAAGTCACAAAATTCTGAGCAGAGAAGGGACAGGTTAATTGGAGATCGAATCAGGAAAAGCTGCACAAAGGAGCTAGATATAAAAAATAAAGGTCAGGGGACTTCCCTGGTGGCTCAGTGACAAAGAATCCACCTGCTGGTGCGGGAGACATGGCTTTGATCCCTGATCTGGGAAGATCCCACATGCCGTGGGGCAGCCAAGCCCATGTGCCATAACTACTGAGCCTGCGCTCTAGAGTCCAGGAGCCACAAGTGCTGAGCCCATGAGCCGCAGCTACTGAAGCCTGTACGCCCTAGAGGCCATGTTCTGCCACAGGAAAAGTCATCGCAACGAGGAGCCCAAGCACCACAACCAAGAGTGGCCCCTGCTCGCTGAAACTAGAGAGAAGCCCACGCAGCAATGAAGACCCGGCACAGCCAAAAATAAATAAAATTCTTTTAAGAAATAAAGGTCAGATTATGACACGAAATAGGCAGGCTTTAGGATACAGAGAAAGTGTAAATGAAGGCACAAACAGGGAGCAGATAGAGCCCTTCTCCAGGGGGAGGCTGGGGTGCTCAAAATATGGTGACATTAGTGTCAGAGATGACCCATTAGGAAAGAGGGCATTGGAATGGCCATTGACAATGGGAAACATGGTGAGGAGGGTCCTCCCACACCCTGTCTCTGGATTTTATCTTTTTAGAGGCCACAGGGTGAGGGACTGGCCTGGGAGCTTTATGTGGCTACCTGAGGCTGCAGGAACCAGGGCGTTGATAACTACAGTCTTCATCAGTAAGTCAAGGGAGAAAGGGAAAGCTACCAAGTCCAGCACACTGGTTGACTGTGGGAGGACAGATGGAGAAGATAAGCCCAGCCCCGGGGGAAATCTTGTCTGAACAGGTGTCTGCCTGGCTTCTTCCCCACTTAGACCTCGGAGCTCCTGTCCCACGGCTCCCTGCCCCCACCTCTCACTCTATTATCACTCTCTCCATGCGCCATTGTGTTCTCGCTCAGTTTTTCTCCTGCTCTTATTCCCTTCTCACCTTTCCCAGCCTTCCAGCCACTGTGAAAGAGGAAAATGGTAAAACATGCAAAGCTTTGGCTTCAGCACAAAGATGAGGTATTCCATGTCTCTTGTGTCTGACCCATTGCAAGCCATCTTTGTCTGCTTGCTCAAGCTCCTGCTAAGCTCTGTTGCCCTTTATGGTCTGTCTTCGGGAGGCAGGGACCGGGAGGGCCGCCACTGACCTTTGACCATGCAGACAGTAAATATTTGCTGATGGCCAGCATGATGGCATGTGGAGAAACTAACCCCTGTCCAAGGCTGTTAGGAAAAGAGTCTTTGATCACTGACCGATGGAACTTCCGTATCCCTGGAGATGTCTCAGGCACATATGCTGGGATCTTTAAAATTGTTGAGGGCATTGGGGTGAGGGCTGGGAAACAGGTCCATATTGGCTTCTGGGCCTCCTTTCTTCTGGGTGTGGGTCACCAACCCCCTCATGGACACAGCCTTCCTTTTTCCATTCTGGTTGGAATCCACTCAAGCTCCTGGAAGGCCCTTTCTCCCTCTGCACAAGACTGGGATGATGTTTGTATGTGAACTGATGGGTATTCTATACCCCCTCTGCACCTGACCACACAATACCTGCCTGTTCTCAAAGCCCCAGCCCAAAGCCATTCCAGCTTCTTAGGTTTCATAACTGCCCCGTGAACTGCACCTGGTCGTTCTTCCCTTGGGGCTGCGGGGTTGGAGGCTGAGTAGATGGCCACCTGGTTTAGCCTCTCCCTGCTGACTGGGGTTTTGGAGACTGGCTCGCTATTGCATGAGTCAGAGAGAGCCCCACGGCTCCGGGCATCTTCCAGGAGTGAGTGACCCCTCGCTCCAGGCAGCAGGAGACTAGCAGGTCTCGGGCTCACCCCTGGGCAGAGGCAGGACAGCTACTTGGGAAGTGCAAGGATGTGCACACAGGCACTGGAAAGGTGCCTGGAGAGCTTCCCAGCATCCCCTTGAGAGCCCCTGGCCCACCTCCCAGTTGAGCTCAGCTGGGAGGCCCAGGCTCAGCTCTAAGCAAGCCTGGACAGAAGTGGCCATGAAGCTCACCATGACCTGGCAGCTCCCACTGCAAGCACAAACAGGCCTTTAAAAAGCCTCCTTGCTTTCTGCGGGGTTGGGGGGGGGGGGCAGACAGGGCAAGTGGCTGCTGGTGGCCGCTGCGTCATGCTCTGGTGTGGCTCCCGGTGGCCGGCGCCACCACCCCTTTCTGTCCAGATGCGGAGGCCGAGGGGGCTCCTGGGAGAGAGTGGCTTTGAACTCCTGCGCCCTGTCTTGGTGTTGGGAAGCCTTACAGCTGCTCTGCGCTGGCAGAGCCTTCTCCTGCTAACTTGGGGCTTTTTGGATCAGGGTGTTGGTGAAGCAGAGTTTTGGCAAGAGCCTTAGCAGCTCTTGCCAAGAGGAGAATGAAGGGAGATAATTAGACCTGGTAATTGGCTTGCTTTTTACTTTTTTACAGGCAACAGTGACTATGGCTGGGAGAAGAAGACACAAAGTTGTCCTCCAGGATCAAGGCTAAGCTGCCTCAATTTTAGGGGAAAAGGCTGGTCCCTGACTAGTCCAGGACTTCCTGTCACCTCTTGCCTAACACATCCGTCTGGCTGTGAAGTGATTCTCTGCATCCTATGCTATGGTAACCAGATCCATACGGACCCCAGGACCAGACATCTTAGAACCTTGAATCCAAAGGTAACCTTTAGATGGAGTTACCCAATTCTGGCTCATCTAAGAAGAGATGCCGTGGGACCTATTGCAAAGGGCTTGGTCAAAGGCTTTTGTTTCTGGGCAGAGCTGACTCATCATTTCCCCCAGATAAGTTTGCTCTCTGGGAGGTTTCCAGGCCCCCATCCCTCCAGTTGGCCGTTTCTCCAGACCAGATGGTTCATTTTAGATCTCAATTTGCAACGTGCTACCCTTTGTGGGCACATGTTCTGGATTCATCCCAAACGGAGCAGCTGATTCACTCGGATGTTCTGGGAAGCCCTCCCCGTTTGATTCCACCTCAGCACATCAGCATAGAAGCTGCGAGTCAGATTTCCAGTTTGTTGTGGGGAGCCTATTGATTCTAAGCCCAGAAGCGCAGTCTGGGAGACCGACGTCAGGTCTCAGGCAGGGGGCCTGGGAGCCCCCCGAGGGCCTTAGAGTGCTGGTGCTGCCTTTGGGAGGGCTGCTCCCTCAAAGTCCGTCAGAGATGGACTCTGGTGGGATCATGACCCATTTTGTGGCCATTTATTATTTTGGATAAAAGCAGAAGAAAGAATTCATGACTAATTTGAGCTCCGAGATTTTAGGTTTAAACCGGATGGCCTTTCTCTAGCTTCTCTTCTTCCCAGGTACCCACTGTTTATTCAGCAGACAGTTGTTGATCACGTCTTGTGCACCAGACGTTGTGCTTAGGGCTCAGGGATAAGAATAAAAAGCCGATGCTTGCCTTCGAGGGACTCAATGACTGATGTCTGAGAGAGGCAGGCGCTGAGAGCAAAGTGAGTGGAGCTGACGGAATGCAGTGGTCAAGAGCTGAGATTCAGGAGTCAGAACCCCCAGATTCCTGCTCTGCCACTTTGCAAGTATGTGCCTTTGGACACATTACTTCACCCATATGTGCACCAGTTTTCTCATCAGTAGAATGAGAATAATAATGATACCCACTTTAGTGTTTTATGAGGATAAATTCGTTGCTGGATTTAAAGTGCTTAGAACTGTGCCAGGGGTAGTGAGGGTGGTACATATATGAGATAGTTTAAAGCTGGAGCATCAAGAGGGTTAATTGGATGAAGGATTTAAGAAAAAGGAAGGGGTCAGGTTTATATCCCAGGAGTCTGGAATATGAACATGTGTGGCCTGGAAAGTTCTTTTGAGTCTAGGGACCACTACCATATAAATATTTTTTTTTCCTTTTGTTTTCAAATTTGTTTATTCTTTAATTGAAGGTTAATTGCTTTACAGAATTTTGCTGTTTTCTGTCAAACCTCAACATGGATCAGCCATAGGTATACATATATCCCCGCCCTCTTGAACCTCCCTCCCATCTCCCTCCCTATCCCACTGCTCTAGGTCGATACAGAGACCTTGTTTGAGTTTCCTGAGCCACACAGCAAATTCCCATTGGCTGTCTATTTTGCATACGATAATGTAAATTTCCATGTTACCCTCTCAATACATCTCACCCTCTCCTCGCCTCTCCCCATGTCCATAAGTCTGTTCTCTATGTCTGTTTATCCATTGCTGCCCCACAAATAAATTCTTTGGTACCATCTTTCTAGATTCCGGTATATATGCATTAGTACACAATATTTATCTTTCTCTTTCTGACTTACTTCAGTCTGTATAATAGGCTCTAGGTTCATCCACCTCATTAGAACTGACTCAAACGCATTCCTTTTTATGACTGAGTAATATTCCATTGTGTATATGTACCACAACTTCTTTATCCACTCATCTGTTGATGGACATCTAGGTTGCATCCATGTTCTAGCTATTGTAAATAGTGCTGCAGTGAGCAATGGGATACACATGTCATTTTCAGTTTTCATTTCCTCAGGGTATTTGCCTAGGAGTGGGATTGCTGGGTCATATGGTGGTTTTATTCCTAGTTTTTTAAGGAATCTCCATACTGTCTTCCATAGTGACTGTATCAATTTATATTCCCACTAGCAGTGCAAAAGTGTTCCCTTTTCTCCACACCCTCTCCAGCATTTATTGTTTGTAGACTTTTTGATGATGGTCATTCTGATCGGTGTGGGGTGATATCTCATTGTAGTTTAGATTTGCATTTCTCTAATAATGAGGGATGTTGAGCATCTTTTAAATATTTTTAAAATAGAATTATAGTTGACTTACAATATTGTGTTAGTTTTAAGTATACAGCAAAGCGATTCAGTTATACATATATATGTGTGTATATATATGTTTATATATATTTTCTTTTATTATTTTCCATTATAGTTTCTTATGAGATATTGAATGTAGTTCCCTATGCTATACAGTAAATCCTTGTTGTTTATCTATTTTATATATGGTCATGTGCACCTGTTAATCCCATACTCCCAATTTATCACTCCCTCTTCCCCTTTGATAGCCATAAGTTCATTTTCTATGTCAGTGAGTTTATTTTTGTTTTGTAAGTTAATTTGACTTTTTTTTTAGATCCACATATAAGTAATATCATATGATTTTTGTCTTCCTCTGTCTGACTTACTTCACTTAGTATTATAATCTCTAGGTCCATTCATGTGTTGCAAGTGGTGTTGTTTCATTCTTTTTGGGCTAATATTCCATTGTGTACATATATGCTACACCTTTTTCCATTCATCTGTCAATGTACTGTTAAGTTGCTACCATGTCTTGGCTACTGGGTATAGTGCTACTATGAATAGTGGGATGCATGTGTCTTTTTGAATTAGAGCTTTCATCTTTTCTGGATATATGACCAGGAGTGGGGTTGAAGGATCATATGGTAACTCTGTTTATAGTTTTTAAAGGAAACTCCATACTGTTTTCCACAGTGACTGCACCAGTTTACATTCCACACAGTGTAAGAAAGTTCCCTTTTCTCTACATCCTCTCCAGCATTTATTGTTTGTAGACTTTTTGATAATGGCCATTCTGACCAGTGTGAGGTGATACTTCATTGTAGTTTTGATTTACATTTCTCTAATAATTAGCAATGTTGAGCATATTTTCATGTGCCTATTGGCCATCTGAATGTCTTCTTTGGAGAAATGTCTATTTCTCTGGACATTTTTTGGTTGGGCTTTTTGTTCTTTTGCTATTGAGTTATATGATCTATTTTTCTATTCTGGAAATTAAGCCCAATTGTCAGTTGCATCATTCGCAAGTGTTTTCTCCTAGTTTTAGGTTGTCTTTTTGTTTTTGTTTATGGCTTCCTTTGCTGTGCAGAATCTTATAAGTTTGATTAGGTCCCATTTATTTCTTATTGCTTTTATTTCTATTGCCTTGGGAGACTGACCTAAGAAAACGCTACTATAGTTTATGTCAGAGAATGTTTTGCCTATGTTCTATTCTAGGAATTTTATGGTATCATGTCATATTTAAGTCTTTAAGCCATTTTGACTTTATTTTTGTATGTGTTGTGAAGCAGTGTTCTAACTTCATTAATTTACATGCAGCTGTCCAGCTTTCCCAGCAGCACTTGCTGAAGAGACTGTCTTCTCTATTGTATATTCTTGCCTCCTTTGTCAAAGATGAATTGACCATAGGTTTGAGGATTTATTTCTGGACTCTTTATTCTATTCCGTTTATCTATATGTCTGTCTTTGTGCCAGTACCACTGTTTTGATTACTGTTGCTTTGTAGTATTGTTTGAAGTCTGAAAGGGTTATGCCTCCAGGATTGTTCTTTTCCCCCAGGACTCCTTTGACAATTTTGGGTCTTCTATGGTTCCTTATAAATTTTAGGATTGTTTATTCTACTTCTATGAAAAATGTGATGGGTAATTTGATAGAGAGCACATTAAATCTGTAGATTGCTTTGGGTAGTATAGCTATTTTTCTTTTTTTTTAATTTATTTTTATTAGTTGGAGGCTAATTACTTTACAATATTGTAGTGGTTTTTGCCATACGTCAACATAAATCAGCCATGGATTTAGATGTGTTCCCCATCCTGATCCCCTCTCCTATCTCCCTCCCCATCCCATCCCTCTGGGTCTTCCCAGTGCACCAGCCCTGAGTACTTGTCTCATGCATCCAACCTGGACTGGAGATCTGTTTCACACTTTAGCTATTTTTGACTATATTAAATTCATCCAATCCAAGAGCATGTGAAATCTTTCCATTTTTTCGAATTGTCTTTGATTTCCTTTATAGATGTTTTATAGTTCTCAGCATATAGGTCTTTCACTCCTTGGTTAGGTTTATTCCCAAGCAAGGAATTTTTTAATGCTTTTTTAAATGAGATTTTTTTTTTTAACTTTCTCTTCCTCATATTTCATTACAATATATATGTATGTGTATATATACACATATATGTATGTACATACATATATAATCTTGAATAATTATGGCCTTGGTTTGTTCCTTTGCAGAGTGGGGATAATAATATCTTCCCTTCCAACCTCAGAAAAACCAACATTTGAATCTGCTATGTACCAGAAAGTATTCTCTCTACCACCCCTCCCCACTTCATACCGGCTGAAAGCCTGGGTAACTGGAAGATGATGGAGAAGGCTGTCTGACTCTAATAATAGCAGATATTGCTCTGCTCCTGTTTTACCTCCATGTGATTCGTCGCATTTCCATGCTGTTTATTTCCTGGTTATTAAAGCCTTGTGATCCCATGGGAGGCTGGTGATTTCCTCAGGAGGATCTGGGAACGATAAGAAGCGTCGTGAGACGAGCTGGACTGCTCAGACGCAAAGTTTCCTGGATGATATGATACAATAGGTTGAGCACGCACATTCTCCTTCGCAGAATGGTCCCCCAGGATCCTGGAGAAACTTCTAGCTTCAAGGAGCTTGTGTGTGCCTCAGGGCTTCTTGTGAGGCAGGATGCATAGGACACAGGCTTGTAAATGAAGGTGGGTAGGGAGCATTCACAACCCTTCACTGAGGGGAGAGGCCGGATTGGGGGTTGGTAGTGCGGGGAGTATGGGAGCCTCGCTGTTATAATATTATAGTGCGCTTCTCTCATCATCATGAGCTGCCTTCACATGTCCTGGAGAGACTTCTTGGCGAGGTTTCAGAGCTTGCCACCAAGACTGCGGCCCCGGCTGGCCTGGCAGCCGTGTGGGGGAGGAGGAAGTCTGCAGCAGATCGAGCATTCTGGCCTGATTGGGAGACTGGCCAACTCTAACGGGATTACCATCCGCTGCCCTGATATCTGCCAGGAAGTTGTGAAATGAAATCTCAAGTCCCCTACCACAGAGTGTGTGGGATGACTTGGCTGAAGCAAGAATCCTTGGGGAAATCGGTCTATTTCCCTGGCAATCCATTAGTCTCTTTTCCAGAACAGAAGCTCTGCCTCAGAGACCAGCATTGGGCAACTCTTAGCTCCCCGAGCTGTCTCGTCTCCGCATGGCAGCCTGTGACGCGGGGGAGGAGAGAGATGGTACCCTGGCAGGGTGATGGGGGTGGTGTGGTGACATGAAGAAATGCCTAGGCTGGACCCCAGGAACCAGAAAGTGATGCCTGGCTCTCTTCTCAGCCTCTCCCACGCCTCTGACAACCCCACGCTGTAAGGTCAAGGACTTACAGAAGGACTACCAGGAGCAGTCACCCAGCCCTCTGCGTGGATGCAGAAAACGAACCCGGAGCTTGGTGTCCACATTCTGGGTTGGAGGTCCTGCCAGGTCACTTAATCTATCAATTAGCCTATGGGGTTGCAGTGTAATCTGCTTCTTTTGCAAGGTTCTTGTGAGGATATGTTGAAACACTGCACGTGGAAATTCTTTGAAAATTGTAAAGTACCTTGGTGGCGGTTTAGTTGCTAAGTCTTGTCTGACTCTTGTGACCCCACGGATTGTAGCCTGCCAGGCTCCTCTGTATTCCATGGCATTTCCCAGGCAAGAATATTGGAGTGGGTTGCCATTTCGTTCTCCAGGGAATCTGCTCAATCCAGGGATCAGACCCTTGTCTCCTACATTGCAGACAGCCTCCTGCATTGCAGGTGACTTCTTTAGCGACTGGGCCACCAGGGAAGCCCATAAAGTACCTTAATTGGAAGGAATTGTTCCAGGCACAGAATCCTCTAGGAATTGCTCCCAGGGGCTCAGAGGAGCTGACTGGAGCCTTTTTGGCCTGAGTAGTTCTCTTCTACTGAAGACAAGGAGAAAGGACCTTTCCACATGGCCCTTCTTTCTGGCTTCATCTGATAGGGACATCCCAGCTCTTGCTGGTGGTCTAGGGTCTTAGAGAATAAGAGTTTCTGTGCAAAGATCACAGAGCTGACTGGTTTTCCTGTGAGTACAGGTTGACCTGTGATGCCACCATCACTGGTCTTGGGGCAGCCTGGAGGCTCCCCAGCCCAGGAACCCACAGGGGTCCTGTTTTCAGCAGGGTTTGTGTTTATACATGACAATGTCTTTACCTTTTATCTAGCAAGAGTGAGTAATCTATTTGGGATATTTAACAAAAACCAGACATTACCTCACTGGTGTCTTATCCAGAGCTGTTCCAGTCTTCCCATTAATTCCAGCAACTCGGGGTCCTTTGCTGTGTTGAGCAGTATAGAGAGAAATCCATAGACTCTTTTTCTCTGAGTAAAGATATTCACAGAACACACTGTTCTAGTGGTTGTATTCATGCCCTTTCTTTCCCCAGTGAACGTCTGTTTTCTTTATTCCGAGAACATGGCAGAGGAATTAACCCAGCTCATCCCCCAAACCGTTCTGACTCTGAGCGGCTTTCTCTGGCTCCCCTCTCCGCTCAGGGATATGAAGAATTTATGTGTGAAATCACAGCAGCCTCACAGAGGAGCATTGGGAAATACTAGCGGCAGGCAGCCCACCTTCTCTGAGGTCGATGGCTGACAGAGGAGTCAGAGATAGTGACTCAAGTCACCACAGCCTTGTGAGCAGCTGCCGGAGTAGAGACTGACAGTGCTCAAGTCTCCTGCCGGTGTGCAAAGGCCTGCTTGCTCCTGAAGGCCCTGCCATCGGTCAGCATGGAGCCCCTCATGGGTCATTCTCACACAGGAAGGACAGCTGTCATAACCCCAGGCCAGGCAATGGTACATCTGTGTCTTGCAGTGGAAAAACTGAGGCCCAGTTAAAAACTTCCATGTATCCAAAATCAGCATCTATTAGGTGATATGAAAGAATAATTGTTAATTTTGATAGATATCATATCATGGCATGATGACAACATAAGAAAATGTCCATAAGACTGCCTTGGCAGTCTGGGGGTTAAGACTCCAAGTTTCCAATGCAGGGGGTCCAGGTTTAATCTCTGGTTGGGGAACTAAGATCCTACAGACCACATGGCGCAAGAAATAAAAATAAATACATTTTTTTAAACAAGGAAAATATCCATAGTTGTGTAGATGCTTACTGAAGTATGTAGTAGTGAAATGACGTACCATCTGGGATTTGCTATGAAATATGTTAGCAGAAACATATTAAATGGATAACCAACAAGGGCCTACTGTATAGCACATGTATCTCTCCTCAAAGTTATGTGGCAGCCTGGATGGGAGAGGAGTTTGGGGTAGAATGGATACATGTATATATATGGCTGAGTCTCTTTGCTGTGCATCTGAAACTATCACAACATTGTTTACTAATTCACTACATCCTAATGCAACATAAAAGGTTTAAAAAATATTAGTAGAAATATAAGAAAGAAAAAAAGATTGACGATGAAGGACACAAAACCCTTTTAATGGTTGCGTATGTTCTTTTAATTTTTGTGGGTGATTGGACATTTTCATAATTAAAAAATTAAAGATACTGCAAATAGTATTAAAAGACAAGACATAGACTGGAGAAGATATTTAGAACACATGCATCTGAAAACAGATTCCTATCCAAAGTATACAAAGGACTACAAAGCAGTTTAAAAAAAATCATCAACCTCATAGAAAAAAAGGGCGTAAGTTAGAACAAGCAATTCCACTCCCAGAAGGGGACACTTGGATGACCAATGCCTACACTTTGGTGATCAGAAAAATGCAAATTAGAGAACAAGACACCAATTTATGCCCGTTAGACGAACAAAACTTTTTTTAAGTCTGGTAATACGAGTATTACTTCGTCAACAAAGGCCCATCTAGTCAAGGCTATGGTTTTTCTGGTGGTCATGTATGGATGTGAGAGTTGGACTATAAAGAAAGCTAAACACAGAAGAATTGATGCTTTTGAACTGTGATGTTGGAGAAGACTCTTGAGAGTCCCTTGGACTGCAAGGAGATCCAACCAGTCCATCCTCAAGGAGATCAGTCCTGGGTGTTCATTGGAAGGACTGATGTTGAAGCTGAAACTCCAATATTTTGGCCACCTGATGTGAAGAGCTGACTCATTTGAAAAAACCCTGATGCTGGGAAAGACTGAGGGCAGGAGGAGGAGGGGACGACGGAGGATGAGATGGTTGGATGGCATCACCGACTCAATGGACATGGGTTTGGGTGGACTCTGGGAGTTGGTGATGGACAGGGAGGCCTGGCATGCTGTGGTTCATGGGGTTGCAAAGAGTCGGACACAACTGAGCGACTGAACTGATCTGAACTGAACTGAATACCAGGTATTAGTCGCTGTATCGTTTAATACATATACTTAGAAAGCAGCTTGGCAATATCTGCCAGAAATGTTTATATTAATATTCTACAACCTAGGATTCTACTTCTAAATATATACCCCTCAGAAAGTCTTGGGCACATGCACAACATATACCTGGAACACACACTTGGATGTCCATTACAGCATTGTTTATAATAGTTAAAACTAGAAAAAAAAAAGGAGAAATAATTCATGACATATTCATATTAATGGCGCACTACACAAAAGTTTAATGAATGTATTCCATTATTATATATATAATTATACATAATTCATAAATATGAATCACATATATACTCATAATTATATGTAATTATGGATAAATTTCCAAAACATAATATGAGTGTTGAATGAAATGAAAATTGCAAAAGGACATGTATGTTATTATATCATGTATATAAATAAAACATCTAACATAATATTTTTGGCTCTCTCTCCCTATGTCATAAAAGTATAGAAATAATTAGAAGAGCTTCAGAGCAATAGGAGAAGAGTGCTTGTCTCCAGGGAAGAAGAGAAGGAGTGAGGATGATCTCGGTTGTATCTGTCTGGTTTTTCTTTAGGAGCAATGTTAAAAAAGAATCTGAGCAAATATATCAAAAATTGACTTTTGAAATATTTGGGAGGTGGGTAAGAAGTCTGTATTATATCATTACTTGTACTCTGAATATTTCAAATATTTTCTAATTTAAAAAACAATTAAAAAAATTGAATTATAGTTGATTTCCAGTGTTGTGTTTCTGATACATAGCAAAGTGATTCAGATATATATATATATATATATATGTATATATATGTATGTATTCTTTCTCAGATTCTTTTCCATTATAGGTTATTACAAGATAATATAGTTCCTTGTGCTATACAGTAGGACCTTGTTGTTTATCTATTTTATATATAGTAGTTTGTATTTGCTAATTCCATACCCCTAATTTATTCCTCTTTCTCCCTTTCCCTTTGATAACCATAAGTTTATTTTCTATTTCTGAGTCTATTTCTGCAAAAAACAATTTTTAATTCAGATCCTAAAGTGCCTCCCTTCTAAATATTACCTTTGCTTTTTTCTTCCCCTCCCCCAATATTGTGTATTTTAACCAACTTATGAGTAATTTAGGCACCTGTGGACACATGTGGAACTCCAACCAACGCTTATATGTTTGACTGTAGGGGACAAAGCCTCCTGGAATTAAAACAACCCACTTCCTGTGTTCTTTTGGAGCTCCTCATTTCTAAGTTGGGAAGTGTCTAAATTCTAACCTTTCCCCATGACTTCAGAACACCCTGACTCAACCTGCACCTCTATGAAAAGGATTCCCAAATGTGATTAAAATCCTTTCTTTCCCCAGAGTCATTTCTGTGTCTCCAATTTACTTTGTAGTTAGATCTTCCATTATCTCAAATTCATCCTCCAACTC